AAACGTCCGCCCTTCGATATTTCAGGCTTTCCCCGTCTTTAAAATAACGCCCGATACTTGAGGGAACGGAGAATAAAAGACCCCGGCGGAATAAAAACGACTTTGAATATTTCCGGCGCGCAACTTTAACGCGAAACTTTTTCGTCGCACTCCGAGCGAAGATAAATGGCGCTTTAAATTGAAGAATCCCGGGGCTCGTTGATAAAACACGAGAGGAAGTGCGCTGATAATTTATACGATAGCTTATAAGTGGCAATACGCGCGGGAATTTATACCGATCATCCGGTCTTATGCTTAAAGTACTGAATTCAGGGAAGTGTGTCTAATCGGCCGGGTTTTACGGAGGTGAATCTCTCGACCGCCACTCGCGCAAATTGTGTTTTCAGGACGAATATATAATTAAACGTTATAATGGAAGAAGGATATCATGCGGGGTTTTATTAAACGAAAAATTTCAATTTGTAATGCAATATAAATATAGTAACGTCGGATGAATAGACGGAATTGAATTTCAGTCGGAATGGAGATACGCGCGCGAGAAGCTTTACTTCAAAATCGAATTTATTCTTCAAATTCGCCCGTCGATCGCGACTACGTTTATTACTCGATTAAATGTTACTTTGGATGCTGTTCGCACGTTTGAAAATATCATGACGTTTCACCTCATGACGGCCACCATCGCGTCGCGATGCGCCGCTTCATCGCATAAAGAACAAACTTCCGCACGACAGCAGTTACATAGACAAGATGTAATGCACTTTTACTCTCTTTCCTCCTCCCCCCCGCCCCCCTCAGGCTCTTTTCTACCGCAGTAGCGAGCCGCTTTTTACTTGTTTTTGGCCACAGCGGCGGAGAAGCCTAAGGCGGCCTTGTTTCTTGTTTCTGTATTTCTGTACTACACAAGACGCGAATTCATCTTTTATTCATGGTCGGCGACGGTGCGGGATACACCGAGGTTATATGCGATTCGTGACAGGAACAGAGAGTTTTGCATAAGTGGCCTTGGATTTTGCAACTTTCGTATCGCGCACGACAAAAATGTTCCGAGCGATCAATCATTCGATGCGACGAAAGGCAATAAATCGAGCCATTGATTTTCGCAGCCGGAGAAGCGTCTCTACGGGCCGCGGTATTCCATCTCTTCCATCATTTCCTATTAATTCCTTAAAGATAAAGTCACCTGTTTCATTCCGGGAGCGTGTACACCGCGAGGAAAATTGATTCAACGGTAAAGCGGAAATCTTATTAGAAGAACGAACTCAAGGAAGAGGACGGACCTCGCGGGGAAAGTGGTGGAAACGTTGAGAACGCGGATCGTTTCGCAGCCGTTATATTTGCAGGGGCATCCGACGATGCGTAAAGTGGAAAGGAACCACCTGAAATATTCCCGCCTTAAGTAAATTACGCCCCCCCCCCCCCCGAAATCCCCCGCTCTTCATGTCGGGCGGAGTTGTAAAATCGGAAATCAAAGGGAGGAGAGTAAACCTGCCGCGGAGTTCGCATAAACATGCCGCTTTGCCCGGAAACGGAATTCACCGTGCCCGTTTATGTGGCGGTTTCGGGCTTTAGCGCCGACGTGTATCGATTTATTTTCCACGAATATTGAAACGCGCGCGATTTCGATTTATTTCAAAGCGCGCGCGCCTGTTCCTTTCAGATAACCGACGTGCGAGGAACTCCGACGAGAGTCCAACGTTCCACTTCGGGAGTGTAATTTATTAAAAGCCAGACCGGCGGGAAAGAAGGAAGACGCTGCACACGAACGGGATTGTATTTATAAGCGCGGAGGAGCGCCGAGGGGAGCAACCGTAACGCGCAGAGGTGCTCGCGTAAGGGTGTTTCCGTAAGGAGACGTGTATCCGCGACGAGATTTGCTCGACCGTCTCGATCCATCCGAGGAATCAGCGGTTAAAAGGAAGTGCGAACTCGGCGCGTATGTCATCTGAATAAGAGAGTCGAGTGGCGCGTCTCCGAGCGACGCGAAAAAAGCAGAGCCCTCGGCGCGTCGAGAAGCGCATTTTAAAGCCGGCTTATGTCTCATTCACGTCGTGACGTCGATATAGGCCGCCCGTATGTTGGAATTTCATGGAAACGTGCGTCGCCTGTCGGAATTCCATTCCGATTTCAGAAGTATACCGCGGCGAGTATCGAGGGAGGGATGTTCCCACCACCTCGATAGTGTGTACATAACCCGGATTGCCCTTTCGCGCTCCCTCTTCCCTCTTCTCTTCCTCTTTTTTTTTGTTTTCTTTCAGGGAGAAAGGGAGGTACATTCGAGCAGCATCTGGCGCGGCGGCGTCGATTTAACGGCGAAACGCCCGCTAAAATATTCTAAAATATTCCCGAACGCGCGAATGCGCTCTTCGATCTCGCGAGAGGAAGGATACGCGATGGAACGTCTGAACGTCCCTCGCGATGTTAAAGGCGCGGAATTGCGCGTCCGTGGGGGAGTATATTTAAAGCGCGAATCGCGATTGGCGTGCCGAGTGTAATCCCGGATTTTTCCGGCGCAAGAGATGTGTTTAGGATCAGGGTGAAAAAATCAGGAAGAAAAACTCTCAAACGGGAGAGAGTGAGCGCACCGACCGCGAAGAGTTTCCACTTGCGCTCGATGAGCATCGATCCGCCGCTTCGTTGATTAACGAACATCTCGCATCAAAATATAAAATCCGACACGGAAAGATGCACGAGAGTTACAAGAGTCTCTCGAAAGAAACTGGCGGATGCGGACGTGTTTGTTGTTTACGCAATTGTCAGCTTTCTTTTTCCTCGGGGATGTCGCTAAATAAGACAAAGAGCGAATGGCATTGCGGAGCACGCGGCGCCACCGCGGGCCGTAAACTGCGGCAATTTGCTGGGCCGACGACTATAGCATTAAAGTACGCAGCGAGAGCCGTAAAAAAAAAAAAAAGGAGAGAGGAAGAATAGAGCGGGGGAAGCAAACAATCTGTAACTCCCATGCAAAAATACTGTATCGACCTATCATTTGCACGTCTAGTGTGCTCCGCGGTGCATCGCGTGTTCGCATTCAATACCGCGTAGCGTATGCGAGCATTCGGCACGCACGTGTTTGCGTGGTTTCACCGAAACTATATTTCCGTAAGGGATGGAATACCTGTTTGCGCTTCCAATCGCAAACTCGACAAATCTGGGAGTCCGGTTTCGCAAACAATTATTAAAACTGCATGCGTCGAGCTGAGACGCGAGATGAGCGGATCCTGCGAATTTCCATTTTTCGCGTCGTCTCTGTTTTGCCTCTCCTTCGCGACCGTATTTCTACAACGCGTCTCTCTATCCCGCCGTCGATATTTTTATACGGTTAATCTCAAGTTTGGTCGATCGATCTATCTCTCGTATACTCATATTGATTTACATATTATTTTTAATATTACATTAGTTTGTTGCCGCGATGCGTAGAAAATTCCGACATGAATTCTGACACATTTTAGCAACAATAGCGAACCTTTCCGTACGGAGAAAAATGATTTTGCTGCCGCAGCGAAACTACATCGTTGCTACTGCGCTAGCAGCGATAAAATTTTGTTGACATGACCGAATTAACGAATTATTCGTAATTAAAGCAGAAACAGTTCTGTTGCCAGGATAGAAAATATTCTGCTGAGGAAATTTGTCCTTGGAACACGTTAACTTACAATTAGAACAAAATAGTGTCTTCCTACATTTACTAATTTGTTCTTATAGCAAAATAATTCAACGAATGACAATTAGCATTCTTAACAAGTCGTTTTGCTGTCCGCATAGTAACCGGCAGATTGTGCTGCGACAGCATAAAATTTGTTATGCCAGCAAATTTTTTCTCCATGCGTGTTGAAACGGCAAAATAATCGTACGATATCATATTTCATCGGCAAAAATATAATTCTTTATTTTCGAAAAGCGAGAATTATATAATTCTTCACCGGATGGAACTGTGTGGCCGTATGTAGAAATATATCAACGTCATCGTTATACGATATAGTGGGAGTTAGTCACGCACATCGTTGTCTTATCATGTTGTGCAATTCATTTTTTAAGAAGAACAATTGACGAAGACAAACTGCATCCAAAAATAGAAACTTGCGATATTAACGATGCATGTTATGCCGAACTAATTCATATGGGAGGACGAATTTGAATTTGAATTTTCGATACGCCGCTAACACGTTTCGCTCGTACACACGCGAGCAAAGAATGTCACGAAAAATTTCTCGTAAAGAATTTTGTTTTTATTCCAAATCTTATCTGCGCTTGTCATTCACGTACCGAGATTTCCATTTGAATGGTCGTTCCATCGCAATGGCACAAAAACCGACTTATATTAGAAACAGCACACGTTCCCTTTCTTTACGGATCGTTTGCACTATGCATGCGCGCGCGTATGCGATAGGAAACGGAAATTAAATGAAAATCGTTCGAACCTGTTCGTATAACGGAAATGAAAATCTGGAAAATCTGGCGTGAATGGAAGAACAGCGCTGGAATGGACAGAGAAATGGCACGGGAGTAATCAAGCGTGGGAAATGTTGACTGTTAATATTTCAATAAACGTTCAAAGAAATAATTTCCTGGTCGAAAATTATTCGTTTGTGCAATTTAATTGATCGCTCGAGTCATCCGTAGAACAGTGAAATAATACCGTTCTCCATTCTTGTTCTTTTATTCATGCGACAAATAAGAATTTTAATTACTTTGATTGTAATAAAGGTAAAGTATGCGTTATTGATGACTTCGTTGCATTTGCAAGCGTTTATAAATAATATTCTATCTGAGCCCTCGCACAATGCACATACTTTTAATAAAATATAATGCTATTTTTAGCCCGAAATTTATTATTAACAATACACACATAACACAGTTGGCGAAATTGACTACAATATTTTCTATGAATGAACCAACAAATGACACGACATTTTTAATTAAAATAAAAGATTGATACGTGAACGCAAGTATTATATAAAACGTGAAATATATGAAAATTACAAAAATTGTATAACACTTACGGTTCCAGCTCCAGGATCGTTAATTTTGCACGGCAGAACTGCCATGCTACCACTTTGAGCAAGCACTTCTCCAATTGGTCCTTCAAGAACATCTTCATTTTTACCTTCCGGGGCATTCAATGAGCTGATTACATTATTGGCACTTGAGTTCTGCTGATGCTTAGCCTGGCTTACTGCGGACATAAATTACAACAATGCTTTCTTAGAGTGGAAACCATTTCACTCGATTTAATGCGACATTTGTACACGACGTACGAATTCTACTTCGTATATGCTAACAAATTTATTATAACAATCTTCACCGTTAGTGCGAAACAAAGATTCTATTAAAGAACGTTGATAATTAGAACGCGCGTTGTAAAAGTGACTTATCGTCTAAACCGATATGACACAGACTCGTATAAATCAAAGAGAATCTTTATTAGAACCTCTCCGAGAAGAACGCAGAGAGAAACGAGCCTCGAGTAAAATAGAGAAAACCACGCTGTGTCATTTTCCCACACCCTCGTAAGTTTTACGCCGCACTCATAACAGCCGTCCCGACGAAAGCTGTTGGTTCCAAGCCCGGCTATGATCAAGGATTAAGGACGATTTCCAGGTTGGTCGTCCGGTTGGCGGAGGGTGAGAGGACTGCGCGAGAGATGACGCAAAGCACCCTCTCCCATCCTGAGATTAATGCAGCCGCCATCGCGACGATAACGCATAACCCGAGCGTCGGTCCGAGAGTGGCTTAAGTGAATAACTTAGTCACGGCAATTACGACGGTTCGGCCGGGCGTTCGCCGGGATGCGCCGAACCTGGCGCGAATTCCCGCGGATATTTCAGCCAGGAACTTCGCGCCCGGCGCACACCATTCGCCGCCCCCTGAGAAGTCTGATCGTTCGCTCGTCCATGCGCGACTCGGACTTTTTCGAGAAAAAAATCGCTCCCTCGCGAGCGCCTCGCGCGATCTCTAAGCTGGCGAATTCCCGGAAAGTTGTCATTTCTATTCGACGAGTCGGGAGACCGGCTACGAAGCTCGACGTCTAGCAGCGACGATGCGCCAAGTTCGCTTATAAAACGTAGCACGACGCGAGTACGCACACGGTCGTGTCAGAGTTCTTTCTCGATAACGGAGACTCGAAGTGAACTTTCAGTGAAGCTTCACTCGGGCTTTTATGAGCTTCGATGATAACTATTCATTGATAGCGTCGATACAGCAGCCGTGCTGCCGCGTGAAGTTCTCACTCGGTTAATCTTTTCTCCGTTTGGCTGAGCATTTTCACGCAAGAAACGTATAAATCGATAATGTGATGCGCGACAAATGACAGAACCTCCCCCGGGCTACGCTGGAAATACGATGCAAGTTAAAAAGGGCTCGAACGCGACACGGAATCCTCGTGGATGCGCGTGTTCCGCATTTAGAGTTGATAATACAAGGGGACAGCCGATGTTGGTCAGCGTACCGCGCGTCCCACTTGAATTTCCTCGTCGATGTAAATTAATGTCGTTTCCGCCGCCGACACACGGTATTCCGGAGTGATTATTCGCCGGAAATTCCCGCGGGAAAAATACACGAATTCTCCGCGGCTGAAATAAAAAAAAAAAATAAGAGAGGAGAGCGTAAAACGAACGGCGCTCTGAGGGATTATTGGTGCGGATATATTGCTACCTTACAAAAATTACCGAGATTTTCGTGTCGCTTTATGCGACATATTTATATGTATCGTAATTTTATCCGAACTCGACATGTCGAAGAACGACATGTCGCGATTCAATCGAAATATCTTCACGGGGAAATATTGCATTGTTTCTTTTCTTCATAATGCTATTTGTGCGAATATAAATACGAATTAATAACGTGACGAGAGAAAAGAAAAGAGTGCGGTGTAACCAAATAATTAAAATGCAAACCTCGCTACGCCGAAAAATATTAAATTCCTACGCTAGTATATTTAGCCGATTGCAATGAAACATAACTCATTCAGCGTTAGCCGAAAATCCGACTTCACTATTTAATAAGATATCACTTTCCACGTGAAATATTTACGATTACGTGTAACGGATTATTTTCGTGCAACCGCGAAAATATTCTGTTACAATTGCATGAACTTCCGCGAATGGAACTCTAATAAGCAACGATGCCCTTTCAAAAAACGCGTGCGCGATATGAATGCAACGTTTCGCGTAAGTACGTTTCTTTTTTCAACAGGCGTCCCACCGAGACGAAGACGGGGTGAAACCGCTGGTGCAATTTTCTAAATTGAATTTACCGGCGATTAGTACTCGCACGTAGTAGTGGAAGATTAATCTGGCACAATTTCAGAAAGTTTGCCGAATCGGGAATCGTAAAACGGCCTGGTAATAGGGGCCGGTGTGCATTTAATTAAACTTTCAATTAGATCTAAAGCTTCGTAGGTGTTACAGCGGCGACCTAAATTTTCAAGCGCCGCATCGTTCGGGCGCGCGCGACGTTCCCTGCGAATTTGCTCGTCGGAATATCCGCGGCGTCGGTCTCGGCTGTCTCTCGCACGGGAAGAAAATCGCCGGCGCATAAGAACAGAGCCGGGCGATCGACACGTCGATCGCGCAACGCCGTCGAAAAGTTCGACGCTAACGAGGTGAAAGTTCGCCACGCGGTTTTCAGCAACACGATAGCCGGAAATTACTTGTCAGCCGCCGGCTGACGCGTGGAATTAAGTGTTTTCTATGCCGGCACGAAAATGACTCGTCTGAACGCAAGTACGGAAGAACGTGGCGTGCCGCGCCGAAAGCGCCTGTGTGTTTCTTCGAGGTGCGTCATTACCGTTGGAAATTGTATGCCGCCGTGAAGCGAATGCCGACGAGGAGCACGGCGGAAGGAAATTAGGGACAAAATTATTTAGGCTGAGAGAGTCGCTACTTAAACACGTGATTTACGAATGAGGCTGCCGTTTCCTGCCACAATACCGTATGCTCGTGGAAGCCTCCGAATGTTGCAGTGCTGAAACATATACTTTTGGAAAAAATTATATTATTTTCTCGTCACAGAGAAGCTGGATTTATAATTCTTTCTTTGATTCAGAAATAATAATTTCAGCGCGCTCGAATGTAAAGTCTGAACCGAACCGAAGGGGCTGAAAGTGAAAGAACATAGTGCATTGTTATCGCAGTGCGAAGTGAGATTCGCGAACGTAAAATAATGGCTGAAATGACGACATTTTATATTACGCTATAAAGATTGCCGTATTTTTACGAAATCGCGGTTAGAAAGTAACGACTCGATCTTACCTGTGAAGTACAAGTGTATCTCCAGTAAAACGCCCACCAGAAACCAGAGTATCCTCATGATGATCGCAAAGTACTCGCGTCCTTCTCTCAGACGCGCATCTTTTTCGAAATTCCTGAAACATAAGAGGAATTTAATGTTTACTGACATTAAAAATTCAATCAACCGTCTCCTTACGTAAGCCGTCCGCACAGTCCGTCTTAATATTTTCTTAAATACTTTTGTAACTTTGATTATTATTGTTCATGAAATGTTAAAGTATAATCGCAAACTTTGATCTGTAAAATAAAAGCATTGTAAAATGGTGTAAAATGGTGTATACTAACAATTCTCTACTTCGAGACATTCATGATGTTTATCTCTTTAGCATTTTGCCAATTTGAACAACTCTCGAAACTCAACAACTTATTCGAAAAATCAGTGTTTCGATTAAAAAATGACAATAGTCGATAAATGAAAGTTCACTGCGGAATGTATTACGTATACACGGTGGTAAGCGATAAAAAAAGTTGATTAATTTCATAACGACCAGCGGCCCGTGCTCTTTGCTTATTCATCATACGTTGCCGCTAACCTCGGGCCAACGTTTCGATAAAAAGCTGTGCCAACAAACTTGAAAGAATTTAAGTAGGGCGCCGCGCCAAAGGAGAATTTCAGCTCCATTTTATACGCGCGAGAAAAACTAATAACATTCCCACTTGAGTAATACGTAATGAATATGCAAATTCAACGATATTAAATTTCTCTAAATAAATAAAACACGACAACGAAGCTTTCCGGCCGTTGAAATTATGCTAAAAGGATCGATCCTTTTTTCTCCCTTTCCACCAAATCTTTTTCATCACAGCATTATTTCTCCCCGATAGAAATATCCAGCCATTTCCTCTTTCCTATTTTAGGGTTTCTCTTTTTCTCCACACAGTCGGCACGTTCATCTTCAATCTACGAGACCATATGCGTCCGTGAAAAAAAAAAAATTAAGGTTAAAGCGGAGAGCGCGAGAGTGCCGGAGCATGTTCCAAAACTACGCACAATGTGCCCCTAACGTGGTATTAACTAGAGTTTCGTCACATAAAAAAGGCTAGCTTTTTTGCGAGCTACGTGCTGGTTTTTCTTAACGCTTCCTGGCGCTCGAATGTAGCGTTTTTGTTGAATCGCATGAGATCGATAGGGACGTGGATATCGTACCTTTGCCCGGGCTCTTGTCCACTTCTGACCCGCACGATTCTCCCAATAATATTTCATCCATTCTATTGTGCGATATGTACGTAAATAACGCGTAAATATTAAAGAATGAAGTGCGCCGTGTGTATATATGTGTGATACAGTTCGCACAAAAATATAACTCAGAAAACAGAAAAATGTTAAGAGCCGTGCACAGAGAAACATGTTTCTTTGACTTTGATATACGTACTTGTTTGACTTGGGTTTGTTTAATATGAACAACACAATTTTATATCAAATGTCATTTTATAACAAATATAATTTTGTTTGAGTGAGAATGTTGTTTCGCTAGAGTGAACCATGTTGTTTGATGGAAAAAAACAGTATTGTTTAGAAGAAATACTTGGTTTTCAACAAGAAAAATTAATTTTATTATATATTAAATATTGTTCCACTGAAACAAAAAAAAAGTTTAATATTTTTCCAACAGTGTTGCTTCTTTCAAATAAATTATTACTTGTGACAACTATTGTAAATTGAATGGAAATACAAAATAAATGTTAATTTGACGTAAAAATATGTATTGCTTGAGAAATCATCAAACAATTCTGTTTGTTAACACATTGCGGACCGCTAAGAAATCTGTAAGACATACGCCTGGGACCGCACGTTTTTTGGGCAAACTTGCACGTTACTAAAATCGTCATAACATTTTTATTGATGAAGCAATGTTTGTTAAACTTTCAGAAATTGTAAAATAGGACGCATTTTAGATATTATTGAAAAAAAACTATGTTTTTTAATAATTATCATAACTTCTTTTACTTGAAAATAAATTTTTACGAATTTCTTAAAAATTGTAAAATAGGATGCATTTCAGGTATTATGAAAAAAATTGTTTTTTAATAATTATCATAATATTTTTACTTAAAAATCAATTTTAAACCAAAGTTCCTAGTACTTTTTTGACACATTGTTGACCGGTCAATAATGTGTTAAAGCAAATTCATTTTTGCATCATGTTAAAAGACAAATTTGTTTCAATGAAAGAAACTGTATTAAATTCAAGGAAATATTTTTCTGCAGAATTATAAAATTCGAGCATAAAATGTATAAAGGGAGGAGAGAAATATAACATAGATAGAAATAAAATAAACTAAATTTCCAAATAACCGAGTTGGTATCTAAAAATAAAGCATGAAGCGTACAATTCATGATCATTCGTGTCGCAAAAATGCACTCATCCTCATTCAAAGCTCAGCGCTTCACCACAGTCGCACAGAAAAAAACGTCGACAAATTACCGCCGTTAGTGCTCGAAAATTTCGGTGTTCCGAATAAAAGTGAAAAAGTTAGTGGGACTGCGGGTCGCGCGACGGAAGGAATACTTGACGGGGGAGGGGAGAAAGAACGGTTGAGAACGTAAGAATATCGAGAGGACGTTGTGGATTTCCGTTGGGAACCGATGACAAAATAGATATGAAAACGGGAGAGCTCCTCGAGATGGAGATTTGCGATCGCGCGGAGATGGAGGTATGCTGATAAGCTTCGCCGGGGAAAACATCGAAGGTAATGGCTCCTCGAGACAAGACAATGGTTGAACGAACGTGATAATATTTCGCCGAGATACCGTGGAATCCTGTCGGCCCAATAAATATTCGGCCGTGGTATTATTCGTATCGCGATTCGTCGTGATCTCCTGGGACCGCCGAAGTAGGAGCGTTTCGAAGTGGCTTTCGTATACTCGCATAATTGCTACCCAGGGATCGTTGTTGTATGTGAGAAGAAAGGCAGGAAGGTTATTTGTCGGAAACGGGAATACAACGTTTGGCTGCGTATACCGAATACCGAAAGGCAAACCGAGAACGGTGATCGCCATCCGCATTCCCGAATGCTATACTATTAGTACGAATTCTCGACGTAACGAATACTTCCACTACCTTCTTTCTCAGCGAGAACGAGACTCGAAAATACTCTAATACGCGGTAGGTATTTGATATTCGCGTTTTTCCTCCGCCGCGGCAAAGCCGCGATACGTTACGCTTCTCTCGCGGGTTGTGATTCGGCCATTCGTAAACCAACCACGAACGCCATATGTTCCCAGCCGACATTTACGTTAGAATTTTCAAAGCAAGCGCCGCGCATGCTGTATTCCAATTTCTCCAGCGGAAAGCAAAAATATTTTTCAAGCTTTCTATTCCGCCGACATATGCCGGTACGGCCGTAACATGTCAGGTCTGAAGCCCACGTGTGTGCGATGCGGTGCTCCTTTATTTTATCAAGAAATAATTTACGTACTAATACCGTGAATTATTATATAAATACGTTATATAATTTCGAGGTTTTAGTGAAGCGTGTGTGTGGTGAAGCCATTTTTCGAGAACAATGTTACGATGTAATCTTTCATTTGAATTTTGACATAAAAGTTTCTCGACTTATCTGTCCGAAATATTCAGCGCACGACGCAGAAAGCAAGGGAGGTGTCCGTAATAATTTCAGGGAAGCTCTCATCTCATTCATGAAACTAGCGCAGTTTCAATGTCGCGCGACCGCGTTTTACCGTCACACGCGTGTTTCGATTACGGCGCGCTGCTTTCAGACAAATGGCTGCCATACAGTTACAATACCGCACAGTTTATTTCCCGTCGGACTAAGAAGTTCATTACTCAGACGGTTTAACGAGCGCGATTCCTGTACTTATTCCTGAAGCCGTAATCGATGAAGTATTTTGGGAACGCGCGACATCCTCTCCTCCGTCTTCTTCTTCTTCTTCCTCATTCCGCAGGACAGGAGCGCGCGGAGCAGTCACGCGAGCTCGCAACTAGATCGGAAATCTTATAAATTCTCCCGAGTAAAACAATCTTCCGGGCTGAAATAAGCGGCTTGTTTCCGCCCCAGCGCCCAGTTAAATATTTAACAGGACGTCCAAAAGCAATCGCGTGTCTCGGACGAGCCGGAATGACCAACGTTCTATGCGTGATCGCTCCGAGTTGTCCGATATTATTATTCACGTGTAACAACGCACATCGACCTCGCGACGGCTGGTTAACAAACGTAGTAATGAATATCGACTTTAAGCGAACATGGTTTGCGCCCGGTTCCATTTAAAGGAGAATAATATCCATAGCTGAAACTAATTGGAAGGTTTAGATTCCGCTGAGCGTCTCTCCACGTACTCGAGTCTATTAAAAGTCAACACAGCTAACAATAGCGTAAGCATAACGGATCTGGATGGCTTCCCCATATTGAAGCTGTTGGCTTTCGTATCTCATATCTCTGTAATCTCCAAACGAAATATGCATAGAATATAATGACTACCAAATGTGTTTCGTTACTCAGTAAAAAAAACATTTTGTACTTGTATTAAAATCGATATCCGTTAAAATTTCTGCGCTTAATTTTCAACACACTCGTGCATTAATTTAATATATTATGTTTACATTATCTCAAAAAATATATATTATGTTGAGTCAGTATCCAACATGTGTAAATGTTAAAATAACATATTTTATACTTCAATATTGACTAGCAGATTATGGATATTATAATTTTCTATTCATTTTTTATATAATATTTATGTTACATTTCAACATATTACCTTTTTATTAAATTAATAGAAAATTTTGTGTAGACCGTTTGAGACATGTGAAACGTGTTAAATTTAACACAAAATTTATTACTGGGTAGATTGATGTTCGATCAACTACGCGAAGCGTGAGATCGCGATGGAAGCAATCGAAGCGCAATGGTTTTTCTTTCTTAAAGATAGATTGTGCCGTCAACTTTTTAGACGTGGAATGAGAAGAGGTGAAAAATAAATAACCAGATTTACCAGGATGAAAGAAGAAGAAAAAGCGAAAATTACGTTCCGCGAGGTATTTGCCGGATGAGTATTAAAAGCTCAAAGGAAGACAGATCCGGCATTGTTAAAAGTTGCACTGAGTGTTGTCGG